AGTAGCCACCCCAACTTTTTTATTGGATTTATTTTTATTTATTGGATTTATTTTATTTTTATTTACTGGATTAAAATGTCCAATAAATACGATTACTCACAAAGAATTCTCTTTTACAGCATTTGAAAAAAAAAAACTGGATGAGGTGGGGGGCCACACCCAGTGATTACTCCAGGGTGTGCTCAGTGCTCAGGAATCCCTCCTTTCAATGCCCAGGAAACCATGAGATATGAGGGATGAACCTCATGCAAGGCAAGAGCATTACCGCTGTACTAATGTTCCAGATCTCCCCCTCAAAAAACAAATTTTTATAGAGCTTTATTTGTTGTCAGAGGTAGGAAGGTATAAACATCCCTCCTTTTAACTGATAATGAAAACAGCAAATTTTTAAATGCGAAATTTCGATTTTTTAAAATGAATGATACTGCAAGAATGATTTATTTTGTAGCTACCTAGTTACTGGAAACTAACATTTCCCAAAGAATTACATACAATGATTCTCTATAGACATTACGGGTCAAAGGAAGATGACATACATGACCTGTAAAGAGTTCAAATGCGAGCACCACAAAAGAAATGAAAGTTCTGGGTCATGAAAACTTACTATATTTCTCCCTAAATGTTTCTGAAATTCTCAAATTACTATCCACTAACACGACCAAAAAGTCATCAAGGCAATCAATAAAAAGACAATTTTAACTGATTTCTGCTTTTCTTATAAAATTCGAAATTATGTGGAATGATATAGTTATTTGTCTGCCAGATAACAGAAATGATTCACTTATTTTTTTATTCAAATCCTTAAGCCAAATGATAAGGCTGAGGAAAGGAACCTTTGGTCACTGGTAGAGGGAAGCTGACAGGGTGTTAGTTAGGTTCAGAGACAGAACTCAGAGTGGCTCAAAGTTTTATAAATCATGGTTCACACCCACAGCACAGCAGGTAGGATTTGCCTTGCATGTAGCTGATCTGGGTTCAAACGCCAGCACAACAAATGGTCCTCCAAGATCCATCAGGAATATCCCTGAGCACATAGCCATGAGTAAGCCCTAAGCACGTGTGACCCTCAGAAAGTTTCATATATCACAGCGCCTAAGTAAAATAATAATCCCTCCCACCCAATCCTTTGGGTCCCAGCATGGCATAGTCCCCCAGCACTGCCAGGAGTGATTACAGAGCACAGCCAAGCATGGCCCAGAAACTTAAAAACAAAACTTTTCATCCATGGCATACTACTGGCAAAATTGTCAAGTGTTATCTGAGTTTACTAATGCAAAAGAGGAAAATGTGAAAGACTGCATTAAATTTTCAGCCAATGATCTCAAATTATTATTCAAGTGTATTTTTATTTAAAAAAAAGTCTTTTATAATTTTTTCTGCATTAAAGAACTACAATTGTTCCAAGTAGAAACTAAAGTTCCTCCTACTATGGTAAACTGTATATTAGTGATACTCACACATACTTTATTAACACGTTTCTTATAAATAATTCTTATGTTAAAAATCCTCTAGAAACCAATGGATTATGAAAATGCTTCTGGTATGAAGATAATGCTAAGTATTTAACCAGCGTATGGAAATAATCACTGCCTGCCACACCACCTAGTTCAGAAAATCAAAATGCTCCAGGAAAAAAGAGCTCTTATCCTTCCCATCTACTTTTTCCATAGTTCAGATTCTATGCTTTTACAATTGCTTTTTTGCTTTAGCTTGTACTTGAAACAATTAATTTTTAGCATAAAGATGACCCAAGATGGTCATTTCTCTCAAAACAGCCAAAAATAAACTTACAACATGTGAATCATAAAGTAAAAGCAGTAATAAGGCTAAGTAATCTTAAACCAATTTAAACCTAAATTTCTGTTTCTTCTTTGAGAACTATTTTTCCCCTTTTGCAAGAACTTATTTTCATGATCAAATTCAGCAGCAATGTGAAATTTTTAGTTTCGAAAAAAACGATATAAATCAGATGATAAAACAAGAAAAATTTATTAGGTTAATTTATAAACATTAGCTAGTATACAGTACAAATGTATTATAATGTCTACACATGTATAATGTACCTGGAATAAATGTTAGATATTCAAGACATCTTAGAATCAGGAAAGGCACTCACCCATTAAATTTTAAGAAAAATAGGATTTTAAAGATTAGAACTTAGCACTAAAGTCTTGTATTAGAGTGCTACAGTAAGAATGTTCCTCTTTTTTTCCTTCCAACTTTCCTATTTAGTTTTATGATGGTAACAAACTTCATTACATGCAAAAAAGAAACTGCTTAAGTCAGACCACTAAAAATCTGCTGCTGGTAGCTGTTGTGACTTCCCTAAAAAAATCCAATCACATACTCTCAAGACAAGTAATTTTCACTAATGGTTTTCCAAAGGTTTTCCTAAACACCTATTTAATTTACTAGATTCAGTCTAAAACGTAATAACAGTAGACCAGACAACTGGCATAGTTGAAGACAAAAAGATATAAAAATGATTTTCTGGGCCAGTTACAAAGCTCAGTGATGGAGGACCGGCATGCAGAGGCCCTGAATCTGATCCCCAGCACCCATGGCCCCACCACAGACTTCTGCTTTTGATTCTGTTGAGGTCATTATTAATTGGTCCTCAAAAGAGAGGTTGGCCTGGCACTGTATTTACTGAATAACTATTATTCTTGAAATTTATTAACCAATGTCCCTCCTTCCACTCCTTGAGGGAGGGCGACAGGGTGGACAAAACCTCCCTCCCTTGCTGTTTCTCAAATCTATCACTAACAAATTTCCTTACAGGTCTCCTTCTATAAAGTATTCCTAAATCCAACTAAACCCACCATAATCCACCACATTTTCAAAATCATGATGCTGCATGGGCAGGAGAGACAGTATAGCAGGTGGGGTACTTGCCTTGCATAGGGCTGACCCAGATTTGATCCTCCTAACCCTGAATGGTCCCCCAACACCCTGGGGAGTTTTATCTGAGTTCAGAGCCAGAAGTAATTCCTGAATATTGCCTGCTGTGGACCCCCCAAAACAAAAAAGAAATCATGATGCTGCAGCCCATACCACATATGTAGAATTTGCTTCATCTGCTTTTTCTGAAATATATGCAGCTATTTTCTATATGCCACTATGAACTCTTGAGGATAAAGGATTGGTCACATTCCTAATTCCAGCACTACCTGCCTGCATTACATGATAATGATCTACACTATGTAGATAGTGCCCTTATAGTTTTCCAAATTCTTTGACACTTGAACCTCACAACTACCTTCCTAGGAATAATGACTCCTAGTACCTATTTTCCAGGAAAAAAATTGAGGATGAATAATTTGTCAAGCTTCTTTCTGTTCAACAAATCTTTAGGATCTTTTTACAAAGCTATTTGTATATACAGCAAATACAAGAAACTTCCTGAACAGAAGGTTCACACACCTCTTAAAAGGTGTGTAAATCCAAGTACCTAACCAGAAAAAAAAAAAAACACTAAATTAGGGCCCTCAAGTCCAACTCTGCCCAACCATGTAAAAATCAACTTTGTCCCTGGAGCCCAGGATTAAAGAAATGAAAAACTGCCCACAAAACAACACAGTCGTCTCAGACAAACCCTAGCCTAAACTTCTTAAAGCACCTAAAATTTTGACCAAAATACTATGGCTCCTGTTAAGTAAAGGGGGGGGGGGGGGGCGCATATTTCAGCATTAAACCACAGTATTACAAAACTTGAGGTCAGAAAGCATGTTGCAAGAGCCATGTGACACACACATGACGGTCAGCTAAACTGATGGACCTTTTAGGGAAAACGTTTTACGGTAATTGACCAAGGCAGTAGCTGAACTCCACTACTAGGACAAACACTGATTTGTGCCTAAAAACAAACAAACACAAAAAAAATCTTCTCCCCCCCCACTCCCCCCCGGCAGTCTTCTGAAATAAGAAAATCACCACGAAGCCTACACATTATTCGTACACTGCTGGAGGGGTTCTTGGAGGGCCATCAGGGGCGCCCCGGTGAAGTATTCCCGGAACGTTGGATGCCAGTTCCCAGGAAACGCACCGGGCGTGCCCTATCTGCTCGGGTGACTTCCCGAGTGAGCGAGAGGGAAAGAAATGCATTAACTTTTCACGACACCTCGGGGAACCTCATTCCCCAGCTGCAGGCATCCGAGTCGGTAACCCAAGCGCCGCCGCCGCCGCCGCCGATCGACGCGCGGCGGGACGGCCCGAGTCTCCGTCCGCCCCGGGGAGGCGGTCACAGAGGCGTCCGGTCCGTCCACCCCCGTCTTCGCTTTTCCCCCTGACCTGTGCGACACCCTGTGACTTGCGTGTCCTCTAAAATCCACACGCTCCCCCGAGCCCGGGGTTTCTCGTCAAGAACTCCGGGGTGAGGGAAGGGGGGTGGGGGAAGAACTCAGTCGGCAAGAGCGCTTCTTCGGAGCCTTTCCGACTCGCTCCTCGCCGTCGACTCCTTCCTTCCTTTCCTCCCCAATCCCACGCAAGCCCGGAAAGCATCCCGATTCCCCGCAGCCCGCCGGGGAGGACGGCGGAGGGGCGCCCGCGCGCTCGGGGCTGACGAGGAAAGCGGCTCTCCACCGCGCCGGCCTCGGTCTGACAGCTCCCGCCGAGCGCGGCCGCGGGGTCCCGACGGGCCGCAGACCCCGAGCCCCGGGCCGCCCCCCCCCAGACACACGCCCCGCGCCGGAAAAACAAGTCTCCCCGCCGCCCCACCCCCTCAGAGGCCGGGCCCCCGCACCCGCAGCGCGCCCCGGGCCTCCACCCGGACCCGGTCCGGGCCCCGGTTCGCCCGGCCGACCCCTCCCCCCGGCCTCCCCTCCACCGGCAAGACAATGGGGCCCGACTCGCGGCCGTCCGCCTCTCCTGCCCCCCCGACCCCTGCCCTCCGCGCCGCGGCCCGGACGCCCACCCCCCGCGCCGCCCTCCTCGCCCCCTGGACGCTTCTCCCGGCTGGCCCCCCGCCGCAGCCGACCGAGGCGCTCGCTCCCTGCACTCACTATTCAGGATTCATGCTGGACATGTCACTGCAGCTGCCGCCGCCGCCGCCACCGCCGCCCTTGCTGCCGCAGCCGCCTTCTAGACTCTCCGCGCCACGGGGAACCGGAGGGGAGGAATGAGATAGGCTGTTCCGGGAGAGCAAACGTCTTCCCCCACTCCGTCCCCTCAGAACACAATCAGCAGCCGCCGCCACTCAGCTCTCGCTTCCACCCAAAATGGCCGCCGGCGAACCAGGAAATAGGAAAGCCTTAGACCAAGGGGCCTTTACACAGCCCAGGGGGCGGGCGCACCGCGAGGCATGCCGGGAAAGAGAGTCACGAGCGGCCGTAGGCGCGGGGCACGGACGGCGCGGCGGGGCCGCCGGGACTCGGCTTCCCGCCAAGCCGCGCGCGCACGGCGCATGCGCACTTGAGGGGTTGTCGCCCATCCCATTCCCCAGTCTCTCGCCACCCCCTCTCCGCCTCTCCCGGTTCCCCTCCCCGCTGACTCGCTGGCTAGGACTTCGCTCGGACTCCCCCTAGCGGATTGGCTAAAGCCGAACGGCCCCGGTGACGTCATCAGTGAGACGTGGCAGCCTCGCGAGTCAGCGCCCCGTGGGGGAGGGGGAGGAAGGAGGAGCGGAGGGCGGTGCCGGCGGCTGGTGCTGGGGGGCCTAGGACCCGAGTAGGGGGCAGAACTGGACGCTGTCAGGGTCGATCCGAGTGCGGAGGCGGGGAGGAAAGAAGGGCTGCAGGATGCGCACGGACGCGCCTGCCTCCGGACCTTCTTCTGCGGGCTGGACCCGCTTGAAGCTTGAGTTTCCTGGAAGATCCTTGGACGAAAGAGGGAGGAGTGGAGGCCGGGCTGCTGAAAACTTCGGGCCTCTGGAAGACGTGAAGCTGTTGTGTCAGTTCCCTTCCTCGCTCACCCAGCCCTACAGGTTCCAGTCCTTGGCCTGGCTGCAGGCTTTGATTTCAGCCCTTCCCTGATCACCCCAGCCTGGATCCTAGATAATGAATGCTGTACCACCAGTGGACTTTCTACTTTTTCCTGCCCTGACCAGACTTGTCTTCCTGACACATTTCCATCACGATGCCACCCAGAGAACTCTGTCCTGCTGCCAGCCTACTCAGTTGAATTGTTACTTACTTTTAGTTGTTTAACTCTGAGTCGTTCTGCAAGATTGGAAGAGAGTAGCCTATAGAAATGTGAAAAATTCTCTCTCTAATACTTGGAAACACAGGGAGTAATAGTGGTGTGACATTTAAAAAAAACCAAAAAAAAAAACTTGGTCTTTAATCAGCTCCTGAACTAAAATCTCCACTGAACTTTAACACATTATCTTGGGTTATTTAATTACAAAGGGCATAGTATAATACATTGTCCAAAGTTTATCTTCCAACTTGTTCTAAGAACCTAGAAAATTATCTCCCGAGACTGATTGCAAAATCACTTTAAATTCCCGTGACACCAAAATGTGGGAAGAAGGTAGTTCTTATCACTAGCCATTTATTACCTCTCTCCCAAATGAGCCTTACTCGGCATTGCCGTCAAAAGTAAACTGGAGTACTTTACAACATGTTGGCCTTTTAAATACACAGGGATGGCAACTGTCAACTCCCGTTGTTCATCGATTTTCTCGAATGGGCCCAGTAACATCTCCATTGTGAGATTTATTGTTACTGTGTTTCGCATATTGAATACATCATGGGTAGCTTGCCAGGGTTTGCCCTGCGGGCAAGATACTCTTGGTAGCTTGCAGGGCTCTCGGAGAGGGGCGGATACCAGTCCAGAAATACACAAAAGGACCAGTGATAAACATAAATGTTTATTCTTCTGGACTTTATCCCTGCTTACTGTGATTTCACAGAAGAACTCAGGAAGATCAGAGAGATAGTACAAGGGGTAAGGAGCTTGCCTTCATGCACAGATCCTTGTTTGACCCGCCTCACACATACAGTCTCATGAGCACAGCCAGGAGTGACCTCTGAGCACAGAGCCAGTAGGCTCTGAGCACTGCAGGGTATGGAACAAAAACTGCAAATTAATAACGCATGGAGACGATTCTATGAATGAAGCTAGCACAAGTTTTGCATGCAGAAGACCTAGGTTAGATACCTGCTACTGCATGGTCCCCTGATCACATATCTAAGAGTAGCCCTTGAGTATCATTGGATTGTGACCCCCCCACACACACACACACCTCACCCCAAAGAAAAAATCATGGGGTTTGGTAGATCACTCTATGGCTAAAGCACCTGCCTGGCATGAGTAAGGCCTCAAATTACATCTCCAGTTCAGCTGCTTGCTCTCAGCTCCTGGCAGCTCTGGTGGTGGTGGTGTGTGCGTCTGTGTTTGTATACTCAGCAGCTTTGCTGCCTATGATCCCTGGTCCTGCACTGCAGTCAGGCATGTGCAATCACTTAAACCAGTGGGTGCAAATTCTGGTGACCACCACCACCAAAATGTGAAAGCAGGAGGCAGGAGTGATAGCATAGCGGGTAGGGCGTTTGTCTTGTATGCGGCCGACCCGGGTTCAATTCCCAGCATCCCATATGGCCCCCCAAGCACCACTAGGAGGAATTCCTGAGTGCAAAGCCAGAAGGAACCCCTGAGCATCACTGGGTGTGACCCAAAAAGAAAAAAAAATGTGATAGCACTACCACCAAGTGTGTATTTGATACACAACCCTTCATCAGAGCTACAGCATGACATCAGAGGGAAGGAAGAAAAACAAAAAAGGTTGTTAGGAAAGTAGGAAAGGTGGGAGGGAAGGAGGAAGAGAGGAGAAAGAGTAGAAGGGAAGGGAGGGAGGGAGGGAGAGAGGGAGGGAGGAGTGCACCCTGAAGTACTCAGGAATAAGTCCAGGCTCTGGATTCAGGAGTTGTCCCTTGTAGTGCTCCAGGGATCATATTCAGAACCATGCACTCAGCCCATTGACCTATCTTCCTGACCCAAAATAGAACGTTTTCTCACCTTGAAGGTACACTCCTAAAGTTCGTTTAGTTACCTAGTTTATTTTCAACAAAGAATTACTTCATAGGGTCGAGGGGGGGGACAGAGAGAGAGAGAAAGAGAGAGAGACAGAGAGAGAGAGAGAGAGAGAGAGCTCAATGGGTCTGAGCACTTGCTTTATATGCTGGGAGCCTGAGTTTGATCCTGGACACTACGTGGTTCCACAAGAATTGCTAGAAGTAGGGCCAGAAGTAGTAACCTTTGAACAACGCAATGTGTGGCCCTCATTTTTTTAAACTACCTTCTGTCACTGTCCTCCCTTTGTTCATCGATTTGCTCAAGTGGGCACCAGTAACGTCTCCACTGTGAGACTTGTTACTGTTTTTTTTTTTTTTTTTTTTTTTTTGCTTTTTGGGTCACACCCAGCAACGCACAGGGGTTACTCCTGGCTCTGCAATCAGGAGTTACTCCTGGTGGTGCTCAGGGGACCATATGGGATCCTGGGAATTGATCCCAGGTCGGCCACTTGCAAGGCAAACGCCCTACCCGCTGTGCTATCTCTCCAACTCCCTGTTTCTGTTTTTGGCATATTGAATACGTCACGAGGAGCTTGCCAGGCTTTGCCATGTGGGCGAGATACTCTTGGTAGCTTGCCAGGCTCTCCGAGAGGGGCGGAGAAATTGAACCCTAGTCGGCTGTGTGCAAGGCAAACGCCCTACCCGCTGTGCTATCTCTCCAGCCCAACTACCTTCTAAATTTAATTATTTTTAAAACGTGTTTTTTTTTCCCCCTTTCAGATTCTTCCTATTTTTTTTTTACCCCACACTCAGAAGTGCTCAAGGATTACTCCTGACTCTGTGCTCAGAGATCATTCCTGGCAGAATTCCAGAGGCCATCTGGGATGCTGGGAACCAAACCCAGGTTGGCTGCATGCAAAGAAAGTGCCTTTCCTGCTGTACTATCACTTTGACCTCCTAAACTTAAGCTATGAGAAAAAGAAACCCAGCTGAGATTGCTCCATTTTTTACTGACTTGTCACCTGCGTTAGAGCCAGTCCCATTCCCTCCAATTTGTTCCTCTTCATACTGGGAAGAAACATTTCCTTCCAAATGCTAATTTTTTCCTTTTTGAAAATATAAATAGAGGACTGGAGAAATAGTGACACAGCAGATGTGGAAGGATGGAGTGCCAGGTGAATTTAGTCAGTTTAAATTCCATCCATGGAAAAGGTATCCACTCAAAAAAGTTAATGCGATGGCTGGAGGGTGGGCGATAACAGCAGATTGAAGAAGCCCCCAGCCAATTTTTTTTTCTCTTCACATATGCCCAGGCAGACTGCAAGATCAGTTTGGCTTTGTGCTCCCAGATAGATGACAGAAATCAGGCAGGGCTCAGACATCCAGGCAGGCAGCAGCATCAGGCAGGGCTCAGATGCCCAATTAGTAACAAGGTCCAGGACACAGAAGTCTCACACACGTGCACGTGGCAATAGTTGGAGACAATGAAAGTCAGGAGGAACCGCTGGGACACAGTTTGAGAGAGACCCAGAGATAGGCACTTAGCACAGGAGTCTCACCCACAAGCACCATGGTCGTGACTGAAGACCAGGAAAGACCAGATGATGGAACCAGTGGGGCACAGTTGGAGAGAGGCCCAATGACAAGACCATACTGGATAGAGAGTGGAGTAGAGACAAGACCAGGCCAGCATATACTGGAGGTGAGGGAATGGCAAGGGACAGGACCAGGGAGTCTACATGGGCTAGGCATCTCGAAACAGAATGAATGATGTTGTACACCTGTCAAAGGAGAAGCCTGGGCATTGCAGGGGGAAACTGGATCCATCTATATGAACTGTACAATAAACTCTAACTTCTTCACCTTCTGAGATTTATATTTATCTTCATACAATTCCCACCAGCTCAGGAAAATTCACTTCTGCACTAACAATAGTACCAGAAAGGCACTTGCATTGTAAATGGCCAACATGGATTCAATCCTCCAAGCACTGTCAGGAGTGACCCTTGGTGTGGGACCATAATCTCCCCCCAGATAAAAAATAAAAACTTCATAGAGCAATTTATATACCTAAGACGCATGGCTTTAAAGGTGTGTAAATTGGAACCAGAGAGATAATATCTAGCAAGGTATGGCTCTTGCCTTGCAAGCTGCAGACCCAGGTTCAATCCCCAGCATCCCATGTGGTCCCTTGATCCCTGCCAGGAGTGATCCTTGAGCACAGAGCCACAAGTAAGCCCTAAGCACTGCTGGGCTTAACACAAAAAACAAGAATTTAAAGGAAAATG